ATTTAAATCAAGGGATTAGGTACTTACAAAAATGATTTAAGGGCCAGAGGAGCAAAGGTGAGGGAAGACCACCATTCTCAGGCTTTCCACACTTTCTGAAAGTTGGAACATTGCAAGAACTGAAGGGAAAAGCTGGGAATGATCAGGCTGCCTGCGGTGCCTAAGTAGTGATTTGCAGGGAAATGCCCTGAGGCCACCACAAGATATCATGACTGTGGAAACCCATGCTTTTCTGCCACCACTGCCAGAAGAGCAAGAATATGGCCTCTGGGTTTTTTTCCCCCACCTTCTTGATTTCATGTGAAATCATTGGCAACAAAAATTCTATAATGTAGTTCCTAGGCTTCCATCCTCTGCAGTGTAGGGAAGACCAGAGTGAGGGGAATGGTGCTGAGTTGCCAGTAGACCATCCAGGACAATGGTCTATAAGACCATGCATGAGCCACCCCTGCTGCACTTCTCTGGCTTTGTCTTGCCCATTCTTCTCCCGCCCCTCATCCTGCTCCACCCTGCTAGACCCCAAATTCCAACCATACTAGTGTGCTTTAACCTCCCTCTTCTGGAAGCACTTTGCCTAGTGTCTCAAGTCAGATTCTTTAGTAGCAGAACCTGAGATGGGGATTCTTGGAAAGGGATTTGTTGAGGGAGTGCTTTTCAGGAAAAATCTGGAAAAAGATGAGGGAAGCAAGGTAGGGAAGGGGAAAGAACCAAGCAAGGATGTGGTCTCAGGTAAAGTCTGGCCTTGGCCTGATCCACACGAGGTGGACTCTGGTACATAAACTGAGCCACAGAGTTACCCCCTTGGAGGCAACAGGACTGGTCTTTTATACCCTCCTATTAATCAGTCATTGTCTGTGGGCTGCTGGGAGGGGTTGTTGCAAGGTGGATTCCCATCAATCAGGGGCAATTCTCTAGAGAAGAAGGCAGCCGTGAGTCCTTATAGCCAACACTCATAGCAGTTGAGGGATGGCGGTACCAGCCAGATAAAGGGGACCTGGGTGGGACACCACAGTATCAATTACATCTGACTTCCTCCTACTTATCTCCCAAGCACTTACCATGGTCCCTGACACATCATAGGTACAAAAGAAATGCCTGTATAGTTGAATAAAGAAATGAACCTTTCTTTTGGTGGATAATCAAAGTGCTTATCCTCCCTGGGCGTGTGTCCATTTCTCAGACGCCAACTGAGCAGGGGCCGTATTGTCCCATCAACCATGGGAATGGGCAGAGTGTTCTCCACAGCCTGAGTGGGAGCACCTTCCCAGTCCAAGTGATCTATTAGGCTTTTCACTGCAAAGTTAGAATGAAAATATACTTGCCATTTGTGGATTAAAAAAAAACAAAAAACATTGCCATCAAATCGATTCCAACTCATAGCGACCCTATAGGGCAGAGGAGCGGCCAGTGAATTTGAACCGCCGACCTTTTGGTTAGCAGCCAAGCTCTTAACCACTGTGCCACCAGGGCTCTATTTATGGATAGGGAAATATTAATGTTAAAAATATAAGATCTATATTTTTAAAAGGAACCTTTGCTTGAGTTTCATTGAGCTGTTTGCTAAAAGTGCATTTTTCTGGCTTGCCACTTCTGGTCTGGGTACATGTTACACATGGAGCCCTGGGGAAAGGCCCACCATTTGCAATATTCATTGTAATGCAGATATTTGTTTAGTTCACAAGAGCCAGGCGTTGGATTTCAGTTCAGGCACCCAAAACTTTGGGGCAAGGGCATATTGTCATGATGGCAGAATTGTTACCCCCTTTCTTAATACACTGAGGAAAAAGTAAGGCAAAATTGATGACTTAGAAAATTCTGTCTGAAGAAATAGCAAATAAATCTGCTTAATTTGTTCTGCTTTCCAGCCACTAGGCCTAATGTAAGTCTCATACTATTGTTCATGAAGGAAAGTGAAATAGTTTATTGAGAAGAGGGGCTTTGTGTATCTAAATCTCATTTTTAGTTTAGTTTTTTTTTTTTTTTTTTTTAAACACAAAGCTGGTTTTCTTGCCCCGTATCTTTTCCTGGGGTGGTTTCCGGCTCTGACAAGCTCTGCCTTATTCCAGGACCTTCATGAGATTCAGGCCTCTGAGTGTTCAGTGGGTGGATCCATCTGGGATAAGTCATGGACCAGTATAAAGGGCTGGGGCCGCCTTAAGTTTCTTCCTAAGGGGATTGATGGTTAGATTCAGCCTGTTGTAACACTGTGGAGTTGTCAACAATCATAGAGCTAGAAAGCCCAGGCCCTTGGGTACAATTTCAGGAAGGTAAATTTGTAAATGGAGAACGTTTTTAGATACATCTCACAACCTGCTTCCTCATCCTTCCCAATCCCTCACCTCATTGTTAATGTTTTTAGAGATGCTTATGAGGAAAAGGAGACAATTATGAAGATACTCTACTTCTTTTGCTGTGCTTAGAACCCTCATTTATGTGGAAAAGAGGGCCAGTTTATCATCTGCTAAATATTTCCGCGAGAAGAATACTTCATTCATCTCCCCATGAAAAGGGAGCGTTAGAGGAAACACTTCTGTCTGTCCTCCTGATGATAGAGAAGAACCAACCAACCGAAAGGCAGGGTGACTGCGTCTGTCAATTCTTCTACCTCTGGTGTTTTGATGCACACCTGTGCGGTCCCTGCAGTGGGCTAGACACACAGACTTGGGGCTAGAACATGTTTCCAAGGGATAGATTTCTGGAGTGGAAGGCAAGGAGAGACTTCGGGGCCAAGTTGCGTCCTTCAGCACAGTTCACAGGAAGCCCTGTGTGGGGGAGGCCATTGGGCCTTCACTCAGCCATTAATAAAGCTGATGCGTGGCTTCCCATTTGGCTCGTGGATCTTGGAGTGCTTGCATTCCCCAGACTCCTCGCAGTGCATGGCTTCTGGACAGCTTCACTTGGATGTCTCACAGGCACTTCCAACTCAGCATGTCTAAAAGTGAACTCTTCAAACCTACTTCTCCTGTGTTTCCTGTCATGGGGATTGGCCTCAGCATTCTTGTGGTATCCCAAGTGGAAATTCTGGGTGTCAGAGCACGGGAGGCCTTTCATGAGCTTACATGAGTCTCCTTTCTCACCTCCTCACGCATTCTCCCCTTGCTGGCTCTATCCTGCTTGTCCCTCAGGCCTCAGCTGAAACATCACCTTCTCCTGAGTCTTTCAGACTCACAAGGCTAAGTGCCCCTGCAGCCCCCAGACTTCCCCACCATAGTCCTTTTCCCATGGAAATGGGACTGCCTGTTCATTCTCTGTCTCTCCCACTGGGCTCAAAGCTCCTGTATGCAGGGTCTGTGTCTTGTTCATCCCTGAATATCAGGGCATGTTTGTGGTAGATGTTCAATAACTATTTCTTGAATGAATTACACTCAGCCCTTAGAGTGTCTGAGGCTGTGTAGCCCAGTGGTTACAGGCCCAGGTCTGAGTGCACCTGAGGCTGTGTAGCCCGGTGGTTATGAGCCAGCTTTGGATCCTGAGGCCTAGGTTCAAACCCTACTATTTGTGTGATCTGTGGTGAGTTCCTTAACTTTTTGATCCTCAGTCTCACTGATGAGATGGGGCATAATAACTACTTCCTAGGGCTGTGATGATCAAATGAGATAATCCATGCAAAGCACAGAGAGCAGTACCTGCCACATAATAAATGTTCAGTGTTTCGTTGCGTCTATTAATAACATCAATAATAATATAATTATCATCCTTAATGGAAAGGAGACACCTATAAGAAATCCTTGAAGCTAGAAACCGGGCATGTTGAGTGCCTGCATGATGAGTTCAGAAGAGGTGGAGAACAGGATAAGAACCCAGGTATCTAGCTAGGGCAATTAAAACATAGGAGCAGATGAGATTGCCCTGGGGAAGAATGAACAGAGAGGGGAAAGTAGGGCAGGAGAACTGAAGCCAGAACCTTGAGAAATCCTCCATTTGAGTGGTAAGACAAGTCAAAACGAGTAAGGGGGAGATAGGATTCCAAGTAGGGGGCGATCCAAGAGATGGCGGCTTATCAGATGCCAGGAACGGGAGTTTTATAAAGATGGTCAAGGGTGCCAGGCTGGGCAGACGGTCAATGAAGACGAGACTAGAAGAGGCAGCTAGAGTCTGCTAAATGGGGGAGCGTTTGCGCCGTTGGGAGCATACCGTTGCAGTAGTGTTGAAGGAAGAAGCTGCACTGCAAGAGGTTAGAGAGCACCAGGTTAGGGACGAAGCAGGCATTCCAGGACAGCTTGCTGTGCTCCAGCGTGTGTCTGCAATGGAGACTGGGTTGGGGGTGCGGGGAGGACTGAGGCAGTATAATGTGACAGTCGCTGTGGTTCGGATGCAGTTTTTTTTTTTTCAGCACGCTAACTTTATCACTGACTAATAGCGGCTGAAGGTAGCAAGTACGGGGAGCTCTGGCCTGTCTTTGTCACCCAGTCCCTTGTGCTCTTCCACTTGGTTGTTGGGCACATGCTTTGTCTTGAGTGTGCCTTTGGCCATTCCGCTCTGATTCCTGTGCATTTAGTCACTGATCCCATAACGCTCAGTGGCCTCAACCCTTTGCTGTGTACTCCTTCCATCGACCCTTCACCTTTTTTTTTTTTTTTTTAAGGTAAAGAGCCAGATTTGCTAGAGGGTTTGCTTATTAAGAATTGAGCATTTTTTAAATCGGGGTGTTTTTATTATGGTTATGGTTTTTGTTGGCGCTCAAATTTTAAGTTGTCTTTCCCAATCTTGTTTCCCCATACGCCCTGTTATTTTTGGAGTGTGACCTTGTGAAGTGTTGGAATCCATGTGTCCCATGATAGAAGAAAGGCCCATGATTCCTTTCCCTAAGGTCCCCGAACGCTGGAAGGAGAGCTGGGAGAGAATAGCAGGCCTGCAGGAGGCCTTGCCGAGGGTTGGTGGGCCTGGCCATGCTTGGCCTGAATGGTTTTCCCCTAGTGCCTCATCATATGAGCCTCTCATTGTATATTTAGATTGTTGTGTTTCTGCATTTTTGTCCTCTCTCTGATCTGTCGCTCCAGTCTGAACAAACGTCCGAGGCCGAGGTGCACCCACAGTCGAGCAGAGGCCCTTCCCAGGCTGCAGAAAGTAGTCCAGCCAAGAAGGTAAGGCTGCTGCAGCAGGGATGCTCTGAGGAGCTTCGGGAGCCCCACCCCAGGCTGCTGGCCTCTGTGAGCAAATCTGTTGTCACGCCTTATGCATGTCCAGAAATGAATGTGAACGGTCCAGATTGCCTAGAATTTGGATTCTTTGTAAAGGTTAGGTCCTGAAGATTCCTGAGTTTTATGTATCTAACAGTCGGAGCCCTGGTGGCACAG